CCAAAGCTATACTACAACACCGCGAACACTTTGGGCGTAATCACCTCCCACATGTCATCAACCATTGTATCCCTATTATTAGACCATGCAACTTCTGCTGTGAAAGATATAGGAGCATTGGGTATGTCATCTTCGGGTGCATCAACATGTCCAAGGTTAACCTCATCATCACTACTGTAATAGTCCTCGTCACAAAGATCATCTGCGTCATAAATCCTTAAGAAGTTGTGAATGGCACAACAAGCAAGCACAATCCTTGCTTGTGTCTCAATGTCGTGGTATGATTGATGTCTCATATATGCGAATATTTTTTTAAGCAGATCAATAATCCTCTCCACAACATTTCGTAGACATAAATGTCGAAAATTAAACAATTCTTTCTTATTTTTAGGTCTATATCCCTTAATGTCTCTATGATGGTACTGAGTTCGGCGGTATGACGAAAGAAATCCTAGAACCAATGGAAATCCGGCATCGGCAAGATAATATTTAGCTATTGCACACATAGTTGTTAAATTATCGTTATTTATTGAAACGGGTGAAAGTCAAATTATCAAAAGAAATGGTAGATCTTACCAATAGGAATTGTTAGCCTATGACCTTGTCGTAAAGTTGCACTCCTTAACAACCGACCGTCGTGAGCGGATCCCTCCCAACCGGCAAGCACATTCGTGAACTTCATATCAAATGTGCAAGCGACCAAAACATTTTGAGTTATCATTTGCTTCTTATTGCTATACCTCACTTGTTCCTCTACGGGAACAAACGCAGGAATGTGAGTACCATCAATTGCCCCCACGGAATCCTAATACGAAAACAAAAAAAGTTTGGTTACGTAAGGAATAGTGATCGGGAAGGAAAAGTGAACGAAGTTAAATATTACCGCCTCACCTGAAAATATTGGAACTATGACTTCTATTTATCCTTTTCGTATGGTGAGTTATGAATAGTGGCATTGTTCACAACATCTCTGTACAATCCAAGGCAAGCTTGTAAAACTCTATGGAAGCAATAACTCACTGTTTGGCAAGATCTAAAGAACGTAAAACTTCAAGTTCGATTATGGTGGTCATGTCCAATAGTGTTGAGAAATATAGCCACTTGTTCTTCTACTTTTATAGATCTATTGTCAAACAAACCATATGTTCGTAAACAAGCACATAGACTTTGAAACGGAGCTATCTTCATCCTCAGTAGATCACGACAAATTCTATCACTCGTACCAAACAGTTGTCTAAGAGTCATTTCTCTTTCAGAATCCCAATTTCTCTGTGGTGCTCTAGGGAGTTGTTGAACACGACGCCTGATGGTAGTATACATTACAATTGCTTGCATGACCATCGTACAAAATAGGCCCAATTGTTGTCGTTGTCGATGACGTTGGTTCCTTGTGGTAGCCATGGTACTTAGAACGTCTAAAAAGTTTCAAGCAAGAGAAAATGAGAGATTTGTTCATGTTTGAAGATGATAAATTAATTGTAAACCTGATTTTATTTATTTCTATGCAACGTATACTCAAGTGAGATGTCTTGACTAAACCTTTGCAATTTCTAAACTTCAATGCAGGAAATCAATTAGGTGAAGGAAAACATTAATGAAGAGGGGAAAAGTGTTTTCTTATGAAATAATGTGCTATTTGAAAAATCGAGAATAGTAAGAATGTTAACAAGCAAGAGAATACCCTAGCATTAATTAACATTGAGACAATATACTATACAAATGAACATAAAGGTCAAATGATTCAGAAAAGAGATAAGATAGAGGAGCAAATATAAACTAACATGGTGAGAACAATTTTCTCGATTGCATGTTGGTAGAGTAATATAAGAAAGCTTTAGAAATCATCAGAAAAAACACACAATTACACCAAGACTGCAGATAAATTTAATGACATTATCAATTGGCACCAAGTGGTAAGGCTGTCAAGGAAACAATCATGTCAAGTAGTTCGGTGTTCGAGTTAATTTTGGAAAATTACACAGACTTATGACTTCAATAGCTCGAGTCATTTTTTAGACTGGGGCCATTTGGAATACTAAACTAGTCACAACTGAATTCCCAGCCATTCCCCAGCTCTCCTTTGTCTCAGTTTTTTCCCCTCAAACAAGAAAATAGACATGTAGATGTATCAATTAAAGACTTGCTTCTGATTCCATTCAAATGACAATAATTCCCAGCCTATGTCTTCCAACAAGATAATCAACAAAATGATATCAGCTATAAAAATTTTCATAGTGGACAACTGAAATTGCCCCTGGTGACTTGCATTTCTGGGAAAATTTTCGTAGTGGACAACTGTTTTGAGCAACATACATCTAAAAACCTTATGCATATTGAAGTCATAAACCAATCTTCCTTCTCTTCAATAAGTCATACACTTTATCATGGTGTTCTAACTTAATCCAAACAACATTCAAAGAAAATATTTCTGCACTGCATAATCTACCTTCCAAGTTCAAGTTCATTCCATTTTCCCTTTTCAAATAATGGAGTTTAAATAGTAAACAAAAGTTGAGCACTTGCTAAGGTTTCGATTTCAAAGCCATTGAGTTCAAAATAGGAGCTGGGCAAATTTTGATAGCTATTTACAGACCGTGAGATGATACAACTATAAAGGGAAAAACAGAAAATTTTTAATTGGTGAAAAGCAATACTTGAATTCGCTACACAAGAGGTTCAACCAACGCTCTCCCTTCAAGTACTCTCCCACTATTTTACACGGAGTGGGAGATGAGAATTGAAGGGTTGTTCCTTCTTACGCAGTTAATTGAATTGGTTTTGGGAAAAACATGGCAGAGATAAAGGGGCGTAGAGCAAACAAGAATTGGCAACCCGATGGTCTGAAATTGGGGATTCTTGAGGGTTTTCCAGTTCCAACAGCTTCTATGTTTTCCTGGGTGCTGAGAACGTGATCTTGTCTCCTTCAATGATAGGGTGTTGTGATGATTTTTTTGGTGGAATTTGAGGGTATATCAGAAACCTTTAGGAGGAGATGGTGAACGGGACGAAGGCGTGAGAAGGAACTCCCGTTCTGATTTTTTTTGGATACCTACAGCTTCTATGTTTTCATGGGTACCGAGAACGTCATCTCCTCCCCTTCAATGACAAGAAGTTGTTGTGATTTTTTTGGTGGAATTTGAGGCGGAGACGGGTGAAGGGGAGGAAGGCGTGAGAAGAAAAAGGGAAAGTGTTGAGTGAATTGCCAAGAAAATGAAAAACCACCAGAAGCAAGGGAATTCCAATTCCACGATTTCATGGAATAAGGGGTCACGTGAGCCATTTCAAGAAAATTAATTCCCTAGAAAACTATGTCTATCAAACGGACCAATTTGTGGAAAATGGTAAGGTATTTTCCATCTTCCCTAGAAAACTTGAGCTATCAAACGGGACCTTAAAATTATAATCCACTTCCAGTTTCTTTTAAAAATAAACATAATTAAAAATAAAAATAAACACGAGGACAAGAATCATGTGCCAGAAAGATATGGAGAATCAATTATTGATTTCGATCTGAATATGTTTTCTCACAACTTAAGAACTAATTGCAATCTCTTTCTGGTGTGCTTTTTTGGGAACTGTCCTCCAATATAACCAGCCTAACGATCAATGACCTCAGTACATATAAAATCAACATGTGCAGAATTTAATCCCATTCAGTATATATAAAATCAAAGACCAAGAACTAATCCCATACAGTATATATAAAATCAAAATGTGCAGAATTTAATTTCAAGTTTATTGTTACGGGTATAGCTTAACTATAGCCCATGACTAGATTTCGTGTTTTGGCCCTGTAGTTGCCTCCTAACTAATGCTGTGTAGATACCATTCTTGCAGAGGAGGTCATCGTGAGTGCCACTTTCCACTATCTGGCCACCAGAAACCACTGCAACAGTGTCTGCAGTCTTTACAGTTGAAAGCCTATGAGCTATGACTAGCACGGTCCGACTCTTCATTAGGGAATCCATGGCATCCTACATGGTACAATAATACCATCACGCGAGTTAAGAAACTCAAGTTTAAAAGTTACTTTACTAGACACGTTAGAACTTAGTTTACTTTTCTAGATAAGTAAGCTTTGTTAGTACAAAAGTAACTTTCATTTGACAAAAGAGATCCTTAAAAGCAAATTTTTTCTTTCTAGGCTTAGCCAAGCTGCTCACCTGAACTAGATATTCACTTTCGGCATCCAGGGCACTAGTTGCCTCATCTAAAAGTAGGATTCTGGGATTCATTAGAAGAGCTCGAGCAATGGCTATTCTTTGTTTTTGGCCTCCAGAAAGCCTCACTCCACGTTCCCCGACATGCGTTTGATAAGTCTCGGCAAACTTGGCTATGAATTCGTGGGCATTGGCCATTTTCTGGTTGTTATACAATGCAAATGCAATCATAAATTTTATGGAAGAGATGACTATACGTCCTAGTAGAGAATTTAGAACTTACTGCAGCGTTTTCTATATCAATGCTGCTTGCTTTACCATCTAATCCATAGGCTATGTTCTCTTCGATCGAGCAGTTAAAAAGAACAGGTTCTTGGCTCACTATACTGATCTGCATTTTGAAGATAGAAAATGTTGTAGAATCAAAGTGTTGACAGCATTGTCTTGAGTGAGATAACAAGCTAGAGCATGTTTGGCCAAGCTTAAGGAGTTAACTTATACGTAAATAAGCTAATTTTAAAGTAAATAATTTTTTGATTGGTTAGAGGTAGAAATAAATAACTCATTTTGAGAGTAAGCAAGAGTTATATCAAAATAAGTAATTTTTTTTCCTCAAGCTTGGCCAATCATGCTCTCTATATGTCAAGAAAGAAGGAACAGCAAATGCAAGAAATTCATGTTGCAAGTATCCCCTTTACTTCTATATAATTTCTGTAGTACCAAAAATTACCATGGAAGAAATTCACATTGCTAGTAACCTATATAACACTTGTAGCACAAAATTTACCTTTTTATGTAGATGATCATGAGATATTTCGACCAGAGGAATTCTATTAAGCAATATCTTTCCTTTGACTGGGTCATATAATCTCTCTATCAAGTTTGCAATTGTCGTCTGCAGCACATAAAAATGGTCATACCCATAGTTTTCTTTTCCTTTTAGCCCCATACATCCGTTCACCTATCTGATGTTTCTTACAGTGACATGAAAATGGACTATGATTGCAAAGGAGCTTCAATATGACAAAGAAATACCTTTCCACCACCACTTGGACCCACCAATGCGACCTTAAAACCAGTCTGTAGTTTCAATGTTATTCCCTAAAATCACAACGATGCACAATACTTAGCATCATTTTTGGAATGAAGTATTCCCAGCACCGGTGAAAGTGGAGATAATACAAATACCTTCAGGACCATATTATTTGGACGGGATGGATAAGCAAACCAAACATCATCCAACTCCACTTCTGCATCTTCATTTCTATGATGAAAATTGTTATTATCATTTTCGTACAGAAGCTTATCGTTGGACTATAAAGTAGAACGAGTGAATTTGAATACATGAAGGGCAAACAAATTTGACACTTCCTTTTCTCGCACACGGGAATTTGCAGATCTCTGAGATGTTTTTATCGGCTTAATACATTGTGGAACGGACTTAGGGTAGCATGCCTTGTAAAAAGACCATATCTATGGTTACTGACCATAATTGGGAACCAAAGAGATGGTGCCTATTCTACAATGGCCAATTAACACATTTTTGTCTATAGAGTGCGATTACAGTTAACATACATGTATTAGGAAATTAAAATTTACACTACTATTGCAGGATTGTTAAACATATTCGTGCAGTTATTCGTCAACAATTGGGAAAATATACAAATCACGCCTCGAATATCCCACTTCACATACCGTGACTTTATAAATTACAATTTACACATGGCTATTTCATATGCTTTAAGAAATAACATATTTTATTAGGACCATGTTTGGGAGTGCCTAAATTAAAACTTCCTACGGAATTTATGGATAATATATGGGTAGTAGTTGTGGGTCTTACAAAATATGTGGATAAAAAGTATTTAAACTGTTTAAATTATGATTTTAACTCTGCAAACATGCACTAGGTTTCCATGAAAAAAGGAAAAAATTCTAATAATATATATATTTTTTAACTTACCAATACTTAATAAGTAACATACAAAAAGTTGCATGAGTTGCAGTTCACTTATAAAGTAGGTCACATGTGCACTATTTCTTTCTAAGTTGTTCTTCTACAATTTCTTATGGCTTCCATTATTTCATTGAATGTTGATATTGTTATAACGGTTAATTATCATTTTACCATCCAAACCCCTTTTTGTAAATTATTTGAAGTTTATTTCAATTTTATTTTGATAGTTTGACTAAATTTACAAGTGACATGCAAATAACTTTTTCTAAGTAACATGCTTGTTTTCGTTGGGTGCGGAAGGTGGGTGTTAATAAAATATGCAATTTATTGATGGAATTTGACAAGAGTTGCACACAATATAGTTTACTCGAGTACACAGCTCGCTCTAAGTTTTTACTATTTTTACGATCAGTTTTATCGTGATACATATCACTTCAATTATAACTTGTTTATATAGGCAACCATGGACTAATACACACACATTGGACTAATATAGACACAAGAATTAAATCAAAATTTAAGACTTGTTTCCAAGTGAAGCCTTTTAGTTTGTGAGGCAAGACTTCATTTTCCAATGGTCAAGATCTGTATTGTACAAAGTCATCTTAATGTTGTGATCTTTAATAACCTCTAATGCTCTTTGAAGATTGCAAATTAGTCTATAACTTTTTAAAATCTTACTCCCTCCGTACCACAAATATATACTTGCTTCCATTTTCACACGTGTTAAGAAAACTTATGTTTTTTCTAACATACCCATGCATTGAATAATGGATGTTCATATTTGTTGATAAAAAAAATATTGAATAGGGATATATTAAAAAATTAAAAAGTTAATTATACTCTCAACAAAAAAAGTGGCCCATAGTTTGGGACAAATGAAAAAGGAAAGCAAGTTTATCTTTATGGGACGTAAGGAGTACCTTTTAAGTTACTTTTTTGGTATTGAAAAATAAAATCAAAAAAGATATCTATTTATAATTTCCCTATTTTATAATGGACTTAACGTACTTGTTAACACTTATCAAATAGTAGTATCAATTGTAATTTCAGAAAATGCAGTATATGAAGTGTATTTACATACTGTATACACGGTGTGTTGTGTAAATTTATCCTTTTTTACACAAAATTGACAGATAAGTTGTTATTATGAAATAACATGTAATATTTTGACGGTAAGCGAAGTTTAATTACACGCTACATATGGGGCATGTTATTGTAAATTTCTCTTGCAATGTTTAACTATCAAAAGAGATTAGATGTAAAATAAAAATAAATAAATAAGAAGAACTAACCCCAATGGACACTTATTTCCAGATTTTTGCATGGAAGAAACACGATCTAAGAGCTGGAAAACTCGCCTACTAGCTCCAGCAGCTTTCATTGCCACCGTATACAAGTTAAAAAGTCCAGATACTGACATTCCAACTACAAATTTTAAAAGTTGAGCACTTCAAAAAGATGTCCCAGAGGTTCATTGCCTGATGATGCAGTATAAGTAGTACAATTCTAGTGCCGTGATATAAATAAGAATTTATCCAAAAGCTGTAGTGATTTGACTTTCTATGGGGAAATTACCAGTTAAGCTATACAGAATGAAGGATGTGAGTGATCCCGGAGTCATGGACCCATTGATTGTCAGGGTAGCTCCATATATTACTACTGCAATAACTGATAGCGTTGCAGTTGCCTCAAAACCTCCAATGAAAAAACCAACAACTTTCTACAGGAAAAATGCACGAGATATTAGATGGTGAATCTGTAGAGCGCTTAAACGACTAGATGAGTCTGTTTCATGTAGCTACTATGAGAAGGAGGAAATTACAGTATTAGGAAACTTACTGCCTGTTTGAGTCCAAGATTTAATGTCTCGTCAACTTTTCCAGAGTACCGTGAGGCCTCATATTCTTCTTGTGCAAATGATCTCACCGTGCGTATCGCACCAAACGTTTCCTAAATAGTAGCCGCATTTTTATTTAGTAAAGAAAATTGTAATGATGATTAAATTGGACTAGTCCGACATGTGATGAGATTTTAGGACCGTAAATAATATGTGGGACGAAAAATGGTTCCTCTTTGTCTTCGTGTCGGTCACTCTTTAGCCTTTTACTACTTTAGTTTATGTCATCACATGGTTTCTAAAAGTATCAGTAAATTATAATTCCTTTCTAAAGCTCTATTCATGAAGTGTTGGACCACCAGAAAGAAGTTTAATATTGGAACGAGTAGAGCTAGAGAGAATTTCTAACTAGTGTAAAGGTCCTTTCTTTCTATTGGTCACACCTAGCTAGAGAAGACTTGGCGAGAAAAGTTAGCGCCTAGAGCGAGCCTTTTTTATTACTGTAGTAAAGCTATGCTTCGGCTCTATAGGGGAGCAACAAGACCGTTGTTAAGCCCATGGATTTGGTCATTCAAATTATGGTGACCGAATGCCATAAATAGTTTAACCAGGCCTTAATGGGCACTAATTGATTTTCTAACGAGACGATGGAAATCTGATCCTATCAATTGATATCAAAGCTAAGATCATAGGTTCAAGTATGGACATTCTAACTGGAACCAAATTGAAACTGCGATTTCGATTGGTTCCACAAATTATATAGAACCGAATGGTTCCATTTATAAAATACCTGAAGTGTAATATGTGATTTTAATTTTTGAAATACCAAGACCGAAACCCGATTATGAATCGGATTTTCATATTCGTGCTCTTAAGCCCATGGATCGGGTCATTCATATCTTGATCGTTGAATGTCATAAAAGGTTTAACTTGCTCTTAGTGGACGAACATCAATTGGTCTTAAATAAGATGGTTGAAATTGATCCTAACAAGCTTCCTATGTACTAAAGAAACGGATAAAAAACGGTGGACTTCTGCAATAGGCTAGGCTACCCATGGGATCAAAAGAGTTTTAGAAAGCATTTTTTTATGGAGAATATGTGAATGAAATATCTCATTTTTAATAATAAATGAAAGGAAACCTTAAAAATTAAAGAAAATGTGGAAGGTGAAGAAGAAAGAGATGTAGAAATAGAAATAGTTTCTAAAATGAAGGTGACTAAAAAGAAACAAGAGGGTCTATGAATCTAATCTATCTTCAATCACAGTCCTAACAATAAAGAAAGAGCAATCCGCTTTGCTAGTAAGACTTATCTGGAAGCACTTGAAGATCTAAACATGCCTGTGTTTTTTCACTTGAATTTTCTATTTCTGTACTGGGATTTCATACTATTAACCAAAAGTATACTAAGAGTAGTAAAGCAAGCTCTGAAATGGGGAGAGTATACAAAATAAACAAGCGTAGCAAACCCAAAATAAACCATATGGGTTGTTTCCAATCATGAGTTCCCCATAATATAAGCACCCTGGGGTGTGGTGGCCATTCCATCAAATCTTTGGTTTGGCTTTAACTACAATTTGTGGTTCTTCCCTTCAAAACAAACACAAATGTTGACTCCCTATCTTTCAAAAGGAGATTTGATAGACGACCAATTATCAGTCAACACCTTTTCTTCAACTAAACGAATGGCCAGACGCTTTTGCTCAGAGTTTTAAGAACAATCCTAACCTACTTATAAGCGTCTAAAACAAATTGAATTTCTTCAGCCAAGGGTATATTAATTTATGAATAGTTTACTTTTCTACTTTGAGACCCTCATTTCAATAAGAGTTACGGAAAAGGACATAAAATAATCACTGGAAATCATCAAACTGTTGAACAATCAAAGGATTGCCGAATGTAGCACTAAAGAATGCTACAACTTAAATATTACACATGGAAAAGCTAGATAATTGGTTTTGGAGCAATATACCTCAGCAATAGATGAAGCTACTGCAGCAGCGGCTTGAGTCTTGTGAGAAAGTTCACGCAGATAGCATCCAAATTTTCTGACAGCAATGGATATTGCAGGAACAATAACCAAAGCCAACACTAAAATAGAATACGGATAAGAAAACATAATAACATGCTAAAATAACAAGCTTATTTTAGAATTCGGTATTCTTAAGGATGAATAAGATACATGTTAACTTCCATGATGTTGTAAACATGAACCCCAGACCAATAAATGCTGTAGAAAGACTGCTTAGAGCCTCTGAAAGGTTGGTGGTTGCAACATTTTTTATAATCTGCGTATCTTCAGATAGCCTACTCAAAAGTTCCCCTGTGCGAGTAACATCAAAAAAGGCTATTTCCTACAAAATTTATTAATAATTAAGTCCCTTGGATAATAAAAAAGAAATATACTCTGGCAAAGACAAATTTCTTTACCTGGTGAATAAGATGACTGAATAGATTCTTTCTCAATCGAGCAACAACCCTCTCACTAGCAGAAGAAAACAACCATGCTCTAAGTGCTGTACAAATTGAACTGAAAAGAGCAAGAATTTATCAATTTATGAGATGCCAAGATTAGCTGTACTTGAATAACTACCTAGAAATATAATCCAGGTTTTGATGTGTAACAATAATCAGATGCCGATGTGTTACTCATTGAATGGTCGAATTATAGAGGCTTGAAGCCTTTAATTTTTAATCTAACCCTGAAGCAGGAACTTAAATACTAAGCACAGGTTTGGTATTAACATTGAACAGGACAGTATAATTAACAATCTTTTAACATTTTTTTTTTCTTTTCTATAGTCCAGTAATATCCAATTATCCTCAACAAATATGCCATAAATTTCTATTGTTGTCTAGAATAGAAGTACTGGAACAAGCAATACATTGGAAAGAAAAAAGTACCCTACAGATCAAAAGATATGGAGATACCCGATTATGACAATTAGAATTATATAGAGAATTGTGTTCTTGACAGCATCCAAAGCTTCAGATTTCTGTTCAGGTGTTTGAGTATCTCCAGAAACAATGTCAATTATTTTCCCCGCAAATTTTGGCTGCAGAATTGACATTAGTCAAAAAAAATATTTCACATCCTGTATCGCGAATATGGGAATCAAAGGAATAGGTGAGGTATTTCTCCGTGATAATGGTACATACCACTAATATGCTTGATGTGGATGCAATTAACAAAGCAACTGTGCCAACAATCAAACTACCAGCTTCAGGCTTTGCCTGTGGAGAAACATCATTTTAAGGACTTGAAATGAATCGTGAAATATTCAAGATTCATCGATCAATTTGCACAACAAACAAAACTAACTTACAAGTGAAAATACTCTACTGATGCCCACATGTGCTGCCTGGATTTCAAATAACATAGTTAGATCCTTAAAAATACCAAATAGGTCGCAAAGCACACTTTAAATGAAACTTGGTTTACCGGTACTGCATCTCCATGTTCGAGATCTGTCAGCTGACCATTTTCCGGGGTGTCATTTCCTTTTCTCCCTTCCTATTTGAGCGCAAGAATTTAAAAAATGAAAGAAAGACTAACAAATATCTGTAAGTGTTATATCCTAGATTCAATCAACTTTGGGCATAAACACCTTAAATATATATAATTAATACGTATGTATAGCAATATCTATTATTTAATTAAATTAATATTCTAATAAATTAAATAATAGAATCCATAGATTCACGTCTTTATAATTTTTTTAAGGAGTTGTGCTTGGAATATACAACTTACAATATGACTATATCTTAAATCGTCTATTGTCATAAGTA